TTCACATACCAAGTAATAGTTCGGTCAAACTCCATCGTCATCGTCTGAACCCGTACTGGAATACCTACTGAACTATTACTTTCGTGTGAATAAAATACACATGAACTAATTTTTTAAAAGCGTTTTATTATGATCGATTGCGAGCATGTCGGCGTGCAGCGTGCGTTGCATGGCGTGTGGCGAGTGCCACCGCAAGCATGTCTGTGATCACCGTATAAGTGACGCAGCGACCTTCGCCCGGCGCGACGCGATTGTTTACAGCTAATCAATGTCAGATGACGCGTCGCGAGATCTTTGTACAGAGCGAAGACAACGAACAACCTTGGCAGTGGTCCGCATTGTATCACGTAAAAGTGCTGAGTGCACAGCTGTGCGGGACGAGGCGGGCGGGGAAGGCGGCGCACACGTGCACCCGCACACGGAAACGGCGAGCAAAAGCAAGTCAGTTGGCGACGTTGTTATTATTGAATATATCTCGTCCAAAACAAAACTAAAGTGGACGGTAAGGCAGCAGAGCCGTTGGCGGCACCGCGGCGCGCGCGTGTTCTCGTTGTTGATGGCCACGTCATCGCAATCAAAATCGACAGGCGTCGTGTCGGGGATGAAATTTAATAGCAGCATTGCAGCATGTGTTCGCTACAACAGATAGTGACCAAATAGGCGGCTGTTATCGTACCGGGACATCGCTAATGGCGCGGCTAATGTGCGCGCGCCGGCTCACACGCCGCGCTGCGCTGCGCACACCGCGCCCGCATACATGTTATTTATATTTTTACTTGAAATATATTTATTACCATGATACAAATTTATTTTTTTAGTTTTACTAATATAATTGCCTGAAGTACAACAATGATGGAATCATTTGAATTACGTTTGGCACTGGTATGACGGTAATACTGTGTGCGTACGTGACGTCATCGGCCAGCCGGACGCGGCACGTGCCTTATCCGACAACACGACATAAACGGAATGAGATTTTAATGCACTTAAAAGGAATGACTTCATTTGGAGAGGCGACGTTTGGTTTTTTGTAGCGACCTGCGCAAACAGCGCGTCCGGCCGCGCCCCGCACCCTCCCCGCGCTCCACACCCGCCTACCACACATTACATCACTAGCGTCAATTAGGATGCAGTGCCAATTGCTGACTTATCCAATCGCAATGCAACCGAGCTTGGTATGGTACGCTCTGATAGGAACGCGCCCCCCGACTTCTGTATTTATTGACCAATAAGCTCATTGTTAATCATAGATCAAGGTGATATCTGGTTAGGCAATTTTTTCTAGAAGCAGTATAAATATGTTTACTAACTAATCTTTGAGCGAATAAACGCTTCCTAATCGAGAGCGACCTGCAGCCCCGCGGTTACACTGAGGTCTACGCTTATCGTTCACGGCTCTCATTGAAAGCTTCTAAAGTAGATGGGAAATTAATTCAAATTAATAGGTGTCCCGAATCCAATAAAGGGAGGGCGTCTAGACTTGCCATTGGTGTTGTTCATGAAACATTCGTCGCTTTCCTTCGAAAACGTGTACACGTCACTAACGACAAAACGACGCGGCCTCATTTAAATATATACGAGTAACAGCCGCTAATTATCCGATAGCAGCGGTCGAGCCGCCGCCGAGCCATCGCTGTGCTCGTCTGCCAACCGGTATCTACATTAATTCAACTTTGTTAGCGATGATACATTTATTAAACGCACTGTTGCGAAACGGCGCAAATATATTTACATTAATCCAAGTGTAATTTCGAAGTAAATGCGAAATACCTACATGCTTCTAAGCTAAGTGCAGATTATATTACCCTGTGCGTTCGTAAACGTCGTAAAGGATTTTCATTATCCCATCGTCCTATCTTTTTCTTTAAAAAAACTATTGGCATCTAGTCCATTATTATTATTTTACGCTGACAACACTTAACACTTGACTTTTTGTAGCAAACTTTTAATTATTTAATGGGCAAAGCTGAGGCACAGAGCCCGGCGAAGATAGATGAAGGTTAAGTGTCATTGAAAAAGTGTGAGCGGCGGCGCGGGGCGTGTGGGTGCGGGGTTGCGAGGCGTGTGGGTGCGGGGATGCGGGGCGGGAGGGCGCGGGGTTGCGAGGTTATCGTGGCGCCCCAATCTCAGCGTGGCAAAAGGCCGACCTTACCGCAAGAAGACTTGAAACAGTGTGAGCAAGTAGCTCGATTACATTGATCGCATCTTGAGGATTATTACCGACAAATTTCGCGAAATTGTCTTTAGTTATAAGACCATAATCCGATTTTGATGCTGCAGAAATCGTACTAGTTAAAAAAAATGTTTACTATTACCGATATGTTAGTACTCGTATTATAAACACGCACGCAGTATGTATCGGTTAGGCGAAACTATGAGTGTGTGTGGCGTGAGGTTCGAGCGTGCTCGCCGTCGCGCCGCGCAGCTCGGGAGGGCAAAACGCAACACGCCCGCAAGCGACCTAGCGACTACCTATATGTCGACCCCCGGGTTCAATAATGACATGCGCGAGTATCAGCCGTCGTCGTAGTACACAAGTAAATATAACATAATTGTAACATAAAAATAAAGTTATATAAATGTATGTACCTATGTAACTGCTGTGCAATTTGGCGACTTTTTCAAATGTCTAAAATGTAAATATGTCTTTATTTATAATATAATGTAAATATAATGTTGTTGCTGTTATTAATACAGCATACATATATAATGTTGTTGCTGCTGTAATTAAACGAGCCATCCTGCTATTGTCTGTGAAGAGGCCGGGCAGAGGTAATCGGAGCATGTCGATGCAGCAGTGCAACATGCGTCGTCGTGTGTAGTGTCATTGCTGCAGTGTTAGTGCAGTCGGAGCCGCAGTGTGCCAGCGAGGGCGGCGTACTCACTGGCGCTGAGGCTGGCGGCGGCGGACAGCTGCGGCCGGCGCCCGTCCAGCGCCCACGCCTCCTGCAACACGCGCCTTCGTCAATACCACCGATGCGGCTACCGAAGCAACACGGAACGCAGTATGTGGCACTACTTATCATCAACGAAAGTACCAAAAAACATGTACATAAAGAAGGATTTCTTTGTATATCTGTAAAAAATAAGGATGGTCGAGCTCCCTCAATTAGCAATAGGTGTCGTTTTTGCGGGATCATACACTATAAAAGATTTGTGCATTTCGGCGACCGTCGCTGTTAAAGACTGTATGGAATGGCACTCACCTGGTGCGAGTAGCCGGCAGCCAGCGGCTGCGATGCGTACGCGGGCTGCCGGTGGACGAAGGCGCCGCCGAAGCGCGCGCTGAAGGCGGGCAGCGCGCCGCCCGCGCCGCCCGCGCTCCCGCCCGCTCCCTCGCTCTCCGCCGCCTCGTACTCTTCCAACACGCCGCTGCTGTAGTTCGGCGACCCACCTGAAGCGACAACCGGTAAACATTAATTGCAATACTTCGCCTGGCATGTTCCTTGTGGGTCCGCCGTGGGTCGCGAGGGTTACGAACGGCACATATATACACACCGCTAGAAATCGTTTTACTTTTATCAAATCCATGACAGTTAATAAAGTAGCAACAGCAAAGCACACATTTCAGCCACTCCCAGAGTTTAATAGTTAATTGTTCTATTCCAAAACATATAATGTTTCTCATAATAAACCTACATTGAAATACGTCCTTGACCTTTAAACTACTAGCGATATCCTTCGGCAGGTTACATACAAACAGTTAGATTGTGTTGGTGATGAAAAGTAGTGAGTGTACCCGCGCTGGAGGTCCACATCTGCGGCTGAGGCAACTCCGCGCCGTTCCCAAAGTAGGGCGAGCCGGCAGCGTAGCCGCAGCGCGCGTACACCGCGCTGCCGCCCGCGCCCGCGCCCGCGCCCGCACCGGATCTGCATACACACACAAAAACATCTTCAAAAGGCATTCAGCGAACAGGATATGGACAGCACCAGCTTAGCGTCAGAGGCGAGTGCTAAAACATGTGCCTGGAATCGCAGAACCCGACCTGACAATCGAAAATTCAATTAACTATTGCATTTGTAATAATGCATGTCATATAATCTACTTGATTGTATTTAAAAGTAAGCGTTCCGTCATCTTGCAACGGTAGTCCGATGAGACGGCCGCCGCGCCGGACATAGTTCGTGGAAAGGCCACCCGACACCGGCGCCCGGCACGGCGCCTCAGCCTCCCCGCCTTCCCTCCTGGGTATTGCTTAACATTGTTCCAAAGGCCTTTCTCATTGCCTGCCCTTTGGTAAGAACACATCCGGTATTAACAGCCATTACTGACAAACGGCGATTACGCATCATGAAAATGTATTTCATTTAGGTACCTAAAATGAAGTTTATAAACCGTGTCCAGGAACGTATAGTTAGTTATTTTAAACTTAACTTTAGCACGGTTGAGTACGTTCATAAACATAAACATGTAGTGCGCATGCGTAGAAAATCTATATACGTAGGTACCTACTTAGTGCTAGTAAGCTGTACTTGCATAACAACGGCGCATTGCCCCCGCCCCGCGCCCCGCGCCCGGCGGCGGG